ATGATCTCTGACACTGCATCTTCAAAGGAGCATACCTACACCAAGATAGCTTAACTATGCACAGAAGTTACAGTGAACTGGGGCCAGCAGGTAGCATGGTGGTTAAAGGCACTGGACTCGCACACGGCCAACCACTGTTCAAGTCCTGAACCTAGTGGCTTGCTTTCTCACTTTCCCTCTCTCTCTGTCTGTCTGATCGAACTGGAAAATTATAATAATAAAGTTAAATAAATAAACTTAAATAAAAGAAGTGATAGTGAACCTCATAAATATATCCTGCTCAACTCAAAGAAATTCTCAATTCAGCTTACAAAAGTGCCTGCAGCCACTCCAAGGTCATGCAACCCAAAGAGAAGTGAAAGGGAAGGAGAATTCAGAATGGAGAGGCATAGTTGTCGGTAAGGAGAATTCAGAACAGAGAGGCAGAGTTATCTTAACTGGTTGCCATAAAATAATTTCCTTTTTAAAATTTTACAAAAATGCATGTCCCTGCACACACTTTGCTAAGACTTCTCCCATGGCTTACAGACCTAGGAATTCTTCTGCTTCAATGAGAGAGAGAGCATGCAGGATGGAGAGAGAATGAGAGGAAGAAAGAAGGATTCGTGCCATGTCACGATGCTTCCTGCCCCAGCCTCCTCCCAGTCGGCTAGGATCACAGGCACATACCACCTCATCCAGCCTGTTTAAATTGGGCCAGAAACCAAACCCAGACCTCCCATGGAGCCTCAGCCAACCCATAGCAGGGCTCTCCTACTTGCATTACTGCGGCCCTGAAACAAACTTTATCAGCTTAAGGAAATCTGCCTGCTAGCCTCCTCTGCTAGCAAAAACATGACTTGCTATCAAAATAAAGGTACTAGGACCTAAGGATATGTGCGCAAAAACACTTATTGCAGCATTGTTTGCAAGTAATTACAGATAAATGAGGTCACAAGGGTGTGGCCATAATCTGATAGGATTAGTATTCTCATAAGAAGAGACATTAGGGACCAGCAGGTGTGGCATGGTGGTTGAGAGGCTGGATTCCCACATGGTCGATCATGGTTCGAGTCCTGGACCTGGGGGCTTGCTTTCTCCCTCTCTCTCTCCTTCTCTTTCTTGCAAAATTAAAATAATAATAATAAATAAAATTAAACAATCCTTAAAAAAAAAAAAGACACTGGAGAGCTCTCTGACTCTGCATACATGTACAAAAGTCACATGAACAGGTGGCAAGACAATTGACTTCCGAATGAAACCTACCTTGCTGGCACCTTGATCTTGGGCTTTATAGTCTGCAGTTCTATGAGAAATAAATTCTACTGTTTAAGCCACCCAGTCTGTGGTATTTTGTTGTGGCAGCCCAAGCCACATAGGGCCGAGATTCAAACTAGGCCATGTGGGATCCAGGTTTCTAAGGCTCTAACTGTTCCTTCTGCCTGTTTCTTTTATTTTTTGTTTTGTTTTGTTTTGTTTTGTTTTGTTTTGCTATAGGGTGCATGCACTTGCTAGAGAAAGAGAGAGAGAGAAATCGCTCCTAGGGGTATGGCCATGCCACAGTCCCTTCTCCATTTTCTTCTCAGGATTTTGGACACTCAAGAACATGGGCCCAGCGTGATTTTTAAACCACTGGGTCCAGGACTCAAATTGCTCAGTTGACCATGTGAGACCCAGCTGCCCCAACCTCCATGATACCTAGTGGCCCTCTTTCTGCCCGTTTCTTAAAAGGACACTTGTGACTGCATTTAAGGCCCCTGGATTATCCAGGATCATCTCCCCATGTCACAATCCTCAATATAATCATGTCTGCAGAGATTTTTTTCCCATATAACATTTACAGGTTTTAGGGATTACCACGAGTACTTCTACCTTTAGTCATAAGAGGGATTCAGCCCTTTTCTAAAGTTGGGGTTGAGTGAACTTGGCTCCAGGTAGCAAACAAAAGGTACTGATTAACTCTCAGGGAACTTTAAGAATGCTCACAGATTTGGAGCATGCAGATAGGGCTGGTATTTTGTCATTAAGGATCTTAAATAAAAGCCCTTCAGCAAATTTATAATGGCACCAAGCCTAGAGGAACTGTTAACAATGCTAATATAATAACTTAAGAAAAGCAAACACCTGGGGCTAGAAAGTGGCATGGCAGTTAAGGGCACTGGACTCCTGCATGACCGACCACAGTTCAGTCCCAGACCTGGTGGCTTGCTTTCTCACTTTCCCTCTTACTCGCTCTGTCTCTCTCTGGTCAAATGAAAATAAACAAATAAATAAAGTTAAATGAAATAATTCTTTGAAAAAAAAGAAAAAGAAACACCTTGAATTTTGATAAAGCAGTAATATTGAAGAGCATGTTAGCCGCACACAGTGTACTATGGTATGATTTTTTTTTTTTGGAGAGGTTTTTGCTATAGGGCGCGTATACTTGCCAGACAAACAGAGAGAGAGACAGAAAGTGAGAAATCACCCCCCAGGGGGAATGGCCACACCGCAGTCCCTTCTCCTCCATTCTCCTCTCGGGATCTTGGGCACGCACGCACACGTGCCCGGCGTTGAGTTTAAGCCACCGGGTCCGGGACTCGAACTGCAGTGGACTACGTGGGAGTCCAACGACATAGCCATTACACTAACTGCTGGTCCCAAGTATGAATGTTTTTATCCCTTATAAAAATTCATGTGGAAGTGTAGTCCTAGAGCAACCATATTGGGAGTAGGCTTATTGAGGGTGTGTAGGTCATGAGAACTCCACCCTCATGAGTGGAGTAAAGCTGCTATGAAAAGGACTTGTAGGAATGGGTTCTTTCTTCTGCTCTTCAGCTGTGTGAGGACCACACAGCTCCTCCCTTTTTGCCTTTCTGCTTTCTGTCACATGAGGATGCAGCAAGAAGGCCCCCACCCAACTCCAGATGCCAATGTCTTTGATCTTGAAATCTTCCGAATCTCCAGAACTGAGAAATAGATTTCTGTTCCTTATAAATTATCCAGTCTCAGTATTCTCTTATAGCAGCACAAAATGGATTAAGATACCACCAGAAGGCTGGCCCTCTACACAGCGATTAAGCTTGGTGCATGAAAAGTCAGGTTCCACATGGCTGAATATATTTCAGATCCTGTCCTTGGTGGCTTTAGTAAATAACACACTGGTTGCATGTGTGCATGCTCAAAATCCTGATGGGATGGAAAAATGGAGGAAAAATTATCGTGGTGTGACTATGCCCCATTTCCCTGCCTCCCTCTTGAAAGTGCAGATGAACATTGGCAATTAAAAACATAAACACAGAGGGACCAGCAGGTGGCATACTGGTTAAGGTGCTGGACTTCCACATGACCAAACACAGTTCGAGTCCCAGACCTTGCAGCTTGCTTTTCACTTTGCGTTTCTCTCTGGTCAAATTTAAAATATTACTACTAATAATAAAGTAATAATAACAAAATAAAAATAAATAATTCTTTAAAAAAAAAAAGATCAGTCAAGAGTTGGGTGCAGTGCATGCCTATAATCCACATACTTGAGAAGCTGAAGCAGGAGGACCATGAGTTTGAAGCCAGTCTGGGCAATTCAGTGAAAACAAAACCTTTTGCTTTTGTTTTGAAAGATGCATTTTTTTGGAATCAGCATATGGCGTAATGGCTACGTTGCTGGACTCCCATGTAGTCAACCACAGTTCAAGTCCCAGACCTGGTGGCTTAAGCTCATGCCGGGCACATGTTTGTGTGTGTGCCCAAGATCCCGAGAGGAGAATGGAGGAGAAGGGATTGCAGCGTGGCCATCCCCCCTGGGGGGTGATATCTTGCTTTCTTCTCTCTGTCTCTGTCTGTCTTTCTGGCAAGTGCATGTGCCCTATAGCCAAAAAAAAAGCATCTTTTTGAGAGGTTTTTGCTATAGGGCACGTGCGCTCGCCAGGAAGAGAGACAGAAAGCGAGAAATCACCCCCCCCTCAGGGAGGATGGCCATGCTGCAATCCCCCCCACACACACACACACCCACCCAGCATGAGTTTAAGCCACCGGGTCTGGGACTTGAACCATGGTCAACATGAAGAGTCCAGTGACAGTCATTATGCCAACTGCTGGTCCCATAAATGGTTGGTTTTGAAATTATCTGTCATAGGTCCATGCACAACAAAACTGTGTATAATAAACACTCCTGAGCATACATTGATTCTTAAAGACATGTTCGAATTCAAGAAAAGATGCACAACAGGGGTGAAGAGCAGCACAACAGGTGATACAAATTGCGATAAGGTTGCCTTTTTTTTAAAATAATACTTTTATTTAGAAAAAATTAACTTTATTTCTTTTTAGTTCGACCAGAGAGGGACAGAGTATGAGAGAGAGAGAGAGAGAGAAGGAAAGTGAGAAAGCAAGCTGAAAGGTATGGGACTCGAACCGCAGAAGCCCATGTGAAAGTCCAGCGCCCCTAACCACCACACCACCAGTCAGCCCCTGATAAGGTTACGTTTTAACGTAAACGTGTAGATTTGTTGTGCTGCAATCAGGCATCAGGTGATCCCTCCAGGACCGTATTGTGCTGCGATGTGGCACACCCACTTCTTAAATACAGATTATTGAACAGTAGTAGAAACGTCTACATGTTCAGTACTTTCCTTGTATATAATTACTGTAGATGAAAAATAAACGCAGACGAAATAAACCGTAGATAAAGAACATCCCTGGGATTTGTGGGCATGTGTGTGTGCTCACAACGGGACATGCAATCCAACGAGCTTGTTAAAGTTTGGAAAGTGAGCCCAAGTGGGCTTCTGAAGACCTGTCCTTGAGGCCCAGGCCAAGTAGATTCACATCTTTGCAAGATGGGTCACCACACAGGTGGCTCTTCTGCAGCCAGCGGCCCTGAGAAAATGACTCTGTGCTAGAGACCCAACTGTTCTCAAACACGGCCCCTCAGCGGTACGGCCTGCATCTCCCATGAGCCTTTTCGGCTGTCACTCTTTGGAAGGGAAGTGGCGTCTGCTCTGAGACGGCCGTTATCAGGCGAGTTACTGCGGGCTGTAGCTGTTGGGTCCCGGCGGGAGGCAGGACTTCCGCTCCCTCGGGCGCAAGTCCGTCAGGAGGCGGAAGCGTAGCGGGGGCGGGAAGGTTGGAGCGTGGGGCGTTGAGCTCCCTTTGCAGGAGTGGTCGCGCCCCCCTGGAGAGCCGAGCTCTGCCCGCTCCGCAGTTCTAGCGCCCTCGCCTCCGTGGTAAGTAGGATGGAGGAGAAGCGCGGCCCGGCCCTGACCTGCTGCCGCCGTCTTTGTAGTCACAGGGCAGCGGCCTCTCCGCCGACCTTGCCACCAGACGTTTCTCTCTCCCCCTTGTTTCCTTCGTCTTGACCGCAGCTCCAACCCGACTTGTTCCCGGCTTCTGCGGCAGGGGGAGACGCTTCGGAGAGCCCAGTCCAGCCTGGTCACATCCCGGCTTAACGTTCCCCTTCCAAGACGGTCATGTTGTCCTCCGGTCCGAAAGTGGCTTTGCTCCGCTAGTGCCTCAGCCGCAGGAGACACAAAAACGATTCATTCATTGAAACCGGCATCCGTCTCTAGTCCGTGCGCCTTTCCCGGGCTCCTTGGAAGGCATCACTCGCAGAATCAGTTTTCTGCCTCGGGAGCGCGTCCTCGCCCTTTAAAAGAGCGCGTGCGTTAGGAGCTGTGGGTGCGGCCCCCGGAGTAAGACCCTTCCCACCCTGGTGGAGTGCGGCAGGACCATCCCGCCTAGTGCAGAAGCACAAGTGTGGAGGCCAGCAGCCAATGTTCTCACTAGCTTAGTGACCGTGGGCACCCTGTGATAAGTAACTAATCTTCAAGCATCTCAGCAGGGTATGGGGCAGATTAAGTACTTCGTAAAGATGAGGCTTCCTTTTCTTGACTTTTTTAGTGTACTCAGTAGTTACTGGGTGTGTTTTTTAAGTGGTGAGGCACCGTAGATGAGTGATTTTTCTTCCTAGCACTTTGACCGTATTGACACTATCACCTGGTTGATATATTTGGTAGTCTTTTGGAAATATAACCTAAATGTTGCTAAGTGTTGGTATTAACATCTGCAGGAATGAACGGTTGCTGTAATGTTTTATTTAATTAAGTCCTTGAGGCTCTTTGCAGGGTTTAAAAGAACGATTTAAGTCTGTGTGCTTTTCCAGTGTATCTGAAGAGATTAAGAAACTGCAAACATTTCTTTTTAGGGAATTGAGCTGTTTCTGTAAACTTTTAGTTTATAATTAAAATATGGTGTATTTTATATGTATGTTCACATGATTTACAGGTGATTGCAAAGCGCTGACCACTTGCCACTGGATAGAATTGAAACAAAATAGGAAGATGGCAGCAAATTCTTCAGGACAAGGTAATGCATGCAGAAATTTAATTACCAAGAACTTTCTCCCCATATACTAAATATATTTAAATACAAAAAAAATTTAGCGTAGGGCGGTTACCATAGCCAGAATTAAAAAATGAATAGTGAAGTAAAACCCCAATTTTAAAATAGGCCCAACATTGTATTAGATAAGCAACATTCTTGATATTATTAATTGGATGTCTTAATCTGTCTTACTCTTGTGTTAAGATTATTCCTACCATAAGCCATTTATCCTCCTCTGACATTCGTGTTCTCTTGTTTCTCTTGAAATCAGAACCACTTGTTATACGGTCATCGTGCAATATCCGTGTTTATTTTCATTACTCAAATTTAACCTGTGTTATGTTCTTTCTAAAACATATGAAGCTAGACACATTCATTGCTATTTTTTAAACTTAACTTTACTATTATTATTTTTCAGTTTGATCAGAGAGAGAGGGAATGTGAGAAAGCAAGCCATCAGGTTCAGGACTTGAACTGCGGTCAGCCATGTGGGAGTCCAGCGCCTTAAACCACCATGACATCGGCTAGCCCCAAGTTTTTATTTTAAAATGTTTCATAAAAGTTAATCTCTAGGAAATACTGAATCCACTTTGGAAGTAGTTTCCTGCTTATTGAGACAAGCCTCCATTGAAAGGCAATAAATATTCTGTTGTGATCATGTCTGTTTGATCACCATGCCGCCTGCTGGCCCCCTCATCTCTATATTTTTTTAAAGAATTATTTTATTTAACTTTATTTATTTATTTATTTATGTATTTAAATTTGACCAGAGAGAGACAGAGCAGAAGAGAGAGAAGGAAAGTGAGAAAGCAAGCCATCAGGTCTGGGATTTGAACCATGGTTGTCCAAGTAGGAGTCTAGCACCCTTAACCACCACACCACTTGCTGGCCCCAGATTCATCTAAATTGTATATGGATCCATAGGTCATTTCTTGTTATTGTGGAATAGTATTCCAGTTTGTTCATTTTTGTTTTGTGGGCTTTGGGATTGTTTGTTTAGCCATGTGAGTAAAAGCTACTTGCTAGGAGCATTTATTTGTAACTTTTTGTTGTAACTTTTTGTGTAGGCAGGTTTTTATTTGTTAGTTACTACCAAACTTTTTTTTTTTTTTTTTCTTTTTTTGGAGAGGTTTTTGCTATAGGGCGCATGTGCTTGCCAGACAGAGAGAGACAGAGAGGCAGAAAGCGAGAAATCACCCCCTGGGGGGGGCGGGGCTGGCCACGCCGCAATTCCTTCCCCTCTATTCTCCTCTCGGGATCTTGGGCGTGCACGCACACACGCCCAGCGTGAGGTTCAGCCATTGGGTCCAG